TGCATTTCCACAACGTGCTCAAGGACAGGGCTTCTCCTTCTCCCCAAGGCATCAGACTCAACTAGAGGCTCCCAGTGCCGATCGCGCCCCACCTCCTGGCTTTTTTCCCCTGCCGCCACCAGGCTTCAGTCTGGCGCCCAACCAGAAAACCAGGAAATTCCAGACATTGTACGTGTTGAGTATTTTCTGGATTTTTTTTTTTACTAGACAAAGGGCCCAAAAACCGGACTGTCTGGTAGAAAACGGGACTCCTGGCAACCCTCTGAGTCGGACCCGGTGCAGGCACCTAATGATGGGGACTACTGGAACTTTGGGAACCACAGACTGCGGGGTGGGAGTTTGTGGCCCAAAAGGGGGCTGAGAAACCTAAGAAAGACAGAGTAGTGGGAGCACCAGAAGGGTGACAGTCAGGGCAACCCTAGATCTCTGTTACAGACCAGCTGGCAGCTGCTGGAGGAGAAAGGAAAAATAGGGGGAAAGGGTCAGAGAGGAAGGGGCTTGTTCTGAGGGGAGGGGGGCAGGTCATGAGAAGAAAGGGGAAGGCACCAAGGGACAGGGTGGAGGAGAGAAACAAATGCCAGGGGACCAAGTGGAAACAATGAAGAAAAGGGCAGGAGGGGAGATGTCAGTGAGAGGGAGAGACAAGATGATGCTAGGAGAGGGGAAGGGCTTTGGGGGCTAGAGGAGAGAAGGGGAGGTGCTGGGAGAAGGCTTGAAAGAAGGGGAGGGCATGAGGAAGGCAGGGATGGAGCAAGGCATGTGTGAGGGCACAGAGGGTCATGACGGGAATGGGGGCAGAGGGTAGTGAGGGGGTGGGCATCAGGGAAAAAGAGAGCAAAGGGGGCAGGGGCTTCATTTGCCTTTGCCAAAACAACAAATCTACATGCCTCTGACGACAGAGGCATGTAGTTTAGACGTACCCTTAGAGGGAACACTTCCCCCAGCCTCTCCACCCCCCCGAGTTAATGTCACATACATTGGGTTAATGCAATTGCAGGATAGTTGCATGAGGGGGGTTTGTTGGGGGCCAAACTAATCCCTATTGTTAAGAGGATGGTGGGAAAAATCCTTAAAGGGGGGGAGGAGCGAAAGTGGCTAATGGGAGTCAGAGTACATTTTTTAAAAATTCGTTGGGTGCACACCCTAATGAAATATGCTGCGCATGCCTATGTGTATGGTCACAGCAGTCCCAAAGCCAGCATGCATCCGGACTACTCAGTCCTGACTTATGCAGCCCCACGAGCTATCCCTCTTATCGACTAATTGAATAGTCAATGGTAATTCCATTGACTACTTGATTAGCTTATTAGCCGCAATTTTACATCCCTAACCTTGAAGAGCACAGTGAGAAAGCTGCCTTCTATTCCCATGCTGGTTCATTTCACCCTAAGAAGGGAAATAAAACTTTTTCTCTGCCCCCAGCCCTGCTTTGCATACTTGGCAGGTGGCTCACACCCTGGTAACTGTTACACTTTTGTCCCTAGTGTAAGAGCAAAACCCCCATACAGGAGCTGGCAGCATCTCCAACTGAACTAAACCCCAGCTCCTCCCCCACCCCACCCCACACAGTGCCTGGCAGTGTCTCCCTGCTTAGCCAAATTCCAGCTCCTGACTCCCCCACCTGATTTTTTTTCCCCTCCAGCCCCTCTTCTGCCTTACTCTAAAGTTACTTGACCCCCATCCTGGTCAGATAATTTCTGCCCCCTGCTTACACTTTGCCAATCTCACAGCTGTGACGTGCCCCTGAACCTTTTTTTAATGCTTGTGAAGCTACAAGCAGCCTCTGAATCAAAGTGTGTACAGCAGCTCTAACTGAGCATGCTCAGTACACCCTAAGTAGTGCATTCTGACAAGCAGCTGCTTCTGTCGCTACAGCAGCAGCGTAGGGGAGGGGCTGATTCCTTTCCTCATGTTTGGCGGATCATAGGGGACTTTGTGCACTTTCCCTGTGTCCTGGATTGGGGTTGTGACCTGTTGGGATGTGATAGTGTAGTCAATTAACCAGTAAACAAAAGCAGCTGCCTGTTTGCAAGACACAACAGCTAACATCTCACCTAGTACACACTACTTCTGACTCATAAGAGCCAGAACTCTACCACACAGCAAAGATCTGGCCTTAATGCAACACTGTTTACCACGTATTAATTAATAACATAAGATTTTAAAAAATCATTAAGGTCTGAGTTTTAGGTATCAGCAACACTCCAAAAAGTTCTGTTAAAAGAATCTTTTTCTTTCTGGCCATAAGCCATTAATGCAGGGGTGGGCACACTCCTCTGACTGACGCCGCTTCCGGCCGCTCTGCCGCCGTCCATGGCGGCCGCTGCAGTCTGGGATGGAGGTTGGGTGTGGAAGGGAGCTTGGAGTAAGGGATTGTGGTGTGGGATCTGGGAGGGAGTTTGGGTGAAGTAGGGGATCATGACGTGGGGCAGGAGTGGTGCAGGGATCTGAGCTGTGACCAGGAACAGAGGTGTGATGTACACGCCACCATGCTTTATGAAATAGACTTATGGACATGAGCGTATAGAACTCAAAGGTGCTCTTTGAGCAAAGTATTTCATGTAACCCATCAATCTTCATGTCATGATCCACTGGTTTTGTTTATCTTGTTTGGTGTTTGTATCACTTTTGTGTGTGAAATTAAACACATGGAGTAGGGAATACTTCATGTTTTTTGCAGTGTATAAATGGAAGGCCATCAAGTGGGGCCTCAGAGTCCAGACAATCATATGCAAATAGCCTTTTCTCCTTAAGGCTTAGTGGTTGGTAGGGAGCGGCCAGGTGTCTCCCCATGCAATAAGGAAATTATTTAAAAAGAATAGGAAGGTAGGAGTCTGGACATACCCGAGGAGGGTGAACTAGAGACCCCAGGGGAAGGGAGATGACCACACCTTCTCCAAGGCCCTGGCCCTGCATACTCCATCTTCCTTCCCCCATTCTCACTCACTTTTACCAGCCTGGAGCAGAGGGTTGGGGTGCAGACTCTGGTCTTGAGTTAAGGGATTTGGAGTGCAAGAGAGGCCTTGATCTGAGTTTGGTGCAGACAGGTGGGGTGCAGGAGGGATTCTAGGGGCAGACTCTGGGAGAGCATTCGGATGCAGAGGTGCTCCAGCTGGGCTCTGCTTACCTCAGCTCCTGGGTGCTGGTGCAGTGGGGCTAAGGCAGGTTCACTCTTGGCCTGGCCATGTATTACTCCCAAAAGCAGCCAGCAAGCTCTCCCCTGCCCAAGTCTTGTCATGCTCCCTCTTTGCTTTGTGGAAACAGGATACAAAGCAGGAGAAAGGAGCACCTTGGCATCAGCACCCCTCTTCTCCCTTCCCTGCCAGCAGTGCAAAGTGGCAGAGGCCTCCTTGGGAGTGGGGCCAGAGTATACTGGCTGCCAGCCTGCTCCAAGGGACTATAGTCAAGTAGCCGGAAAGAATGTATGCAGTTACTTGACTATTCCATTAACCAATAGCTAACCCCTCTATCCCAGGCTGTATCTTGCCCAGCCTGGCTCTTTGGACTCAGAATTTAAAAGGGAAGTAGCCGTAGGCAGCTGCTCTCTGCACCGTCCCTCCCCAACAAACAGCACCCAATTTAACCTGTATGTTAAATACAATCTCCTCATTTGCAGGGTCTGAGCCAACAGGGCTGATCTGGTGCTGCTCTGATTTCTGCCCAGGATTTGGTGTCAGACCAGAGTCACTGCTGCCCAATCCTAACAAGGAGCGGAACTGAGGGTTAGTTCGGTGTACATGCGAGTTCAGTGACAGTCGGTGTTTGGTTTCCGTTCTAGTGCAACTCACCCCAAATGGTTCAGTTCCCAGCAGTGCCCCAGGGTGTGTGGGGGGAGAGGGAGAGGCGATGGGAGTGGGCTCTGAGACTGGCTACAGTGGGGCACTGAATTTGGAGTGTGGGGCCTGCATCAGTTGCCAGGTGGAGGTAGGATGGACTGAGAAGAGCCATAATTTTTTTCTAACTTCAGATCAGTTAAAAACCCTGGTTCTCTGGTCTGGTTCAGTTCTGGGCAGTCCAGCTGGGCCAATGGAATCTGCAGCTACTGAGCTGTCCCTGGGAGCTTTAGGGCAGCCCAAGGGGCTCAGGCATGTGGGGAGGGGTCCCTGCTTGTTGCGCAGGCAGAGGAGGCTGGTGTCTGTCTCTACTCAGATTACAGGGCCCTAGAGCAGGCTGAGTTTCCTGGGTCAGATGCTGCTGCCTCTGACATCATGATCTGGGAGTCCACACTGAGCAGCTGGTCTGTAACAGGGAGACGTTCACTGAACCCCTCTGTGCCCACCGAGGGTGGGGACGCTCCCAGGTGCCTGTTACTTTCCCCTTAGGGCAGCCTCAGTCTCTGCTGGCATCAGCTCCAGGTGACAGGGAGAGAACTAGGGGACAATGCTCGGGAGGGGCAGGAAAGTGATTCAGCCAAACCAGCCTCTTTCAGCCTGAGTTTGTGCCAGAGGGGATGGGGGTCCCTGTGTCTCTGCTGGTCCCAGAGCTGCTACCTCAGTGCCACTGCCAGGCTCCCACTGGAGAGCAAACACCCATGGGCACCGGGCAGGCACCAGTGCTCCCAGCGGAGGGGAGGGGGCAGGAGGCAGGAAGAGGACTGGGGAGAACAAAAGGGGCAGCAACCCATTTACTGCCACACCCTGGGCAAATTGACTGTCCTTGCAGCAAGATGCAGGGAAGGAAAAGCCAGTTCCTGCCCTTCCCAGCCCCCATGTGACGGGTTGGGGTGGGGGCTTGCTGTCCTTAGGGACAAGGTTGGGGAATCCCCCAGAGGGGCAGGTTTGGCACTTCTGCTCTTTTCTAGTGTCTGTCTCAGAGACTCTGTCCCAGGGAGGGTGTAAAAGTGCCTGGTGGGCTCAGCCCTGGTGGGAGGGGCCAGGTCTGTGTTGTCACCTCACAACTGAGGGTGTCACAGCATGGCGGGGCCTAGAGCGTCTGTAGGGAGGGAGCCTGGGAGAACTGGGGTGTGAAATGGATCCAGCCCCCTTTGGAAACCTCCCCAGTCGCCCCTCTCGCCCTAACAGGCTGAAGACTCACGTCTCCACTTTGCTCTGGATTGTCCCATGTTGCAGGAGGCAGTGCAGGGAAATGGCTGTGGTGAAGCTGGCTCAGGTAAGGGATTGTGTGGGAGCTGCAGGGGGGGGGGCTATTGCAGAAAGGGAGGGGCAGGGAATACACAGGGTGAGCCAGGGAAGGGACAGGGTGGGTAAACTTGCAGGGACTTGCTCATCCTAGGGCCTGATGGTTTGAAGAGGCCCATTGGGAGGGGGGTGAACGTTCTCCCATCTCTGAAAGAGGAAACTCCCCACAGACAGGGCTGAGAAAACTGACCACAGTCTCCATTGCTCCATCAATGGCTACTAGCCAGGTTGGGCAGGGAGAGTGTCCGGAACCTCTGTTTGCCAGAAGCTGGGAATGGGCGACAGGGTGGATCACTTGGCGGTTCCCTGTTCTGTTCATTCTCTTAGGGGCACCTACATTGGCCATGTGGGCAGACAGGACACTGGGCTGGAGGGGCCTTTGGTCTGATCCAGACTGGCTGTTCCTGCTGCTGTTTCTCACACTTGAGTCCGAGCTCACTAGCCAAAGGCTGCCATGAGCTAGGAAGGGTCTGGGATTCCTGTCCCTGTGGCCTGTGCAGAGCTCTGCTCCCACCTCAGCTTGTGGCTGGCCAGGGGTGACTGAGAAGACCCTGTCTGCTCTGCTCCATCTGCTGGGAGCGACATCTGCTGCTGCTGCCTCTCCTGGAGCATCTTGGCCTCTCTGGGCAGGGTGGGGTGGGATTCTGCTTCTTGGGGCCCCTCCCATTGTGACCAGTGGGGTTGTGGCTGGGGCAGCAGGTTCTGAGTAGGGAGCTCTGTTGTTTCAGATGCTGGTGACTTTCGAGGAGGTGGCTGTGTATTTCACCACAGGGCAGGGGGCGCTGTTGAGCCCCGCGCAGAGAGCCCTCTACAAGGACGTCATGCAGGAGAACTATGAGACTGTGGCCTCGCTGGGTAAGGATTCCTGTGCCCTCAGCTAGCAAAGCCCTGGGGCCGACATTTATGCATCTGGTCAGGGTCTTCCCTTGTCAGTTAGGCTATGTCTGCACTGCACTTAGTTTCTAAATAAAGTGCTATTTTGAGTCATGTTTTAACCTTCCTGGAATGAGGATTACTGGGATACGGAAATAGTGCACCTATTATTTTGAAAAATAATTTGAAATAACAGGTGGCTTGTGCAGGGTAGACATACCCTTAGATTAGAGGGGGGTGGGCCCACAGTCCCCATGTGAGAGACGCTTTCTATACTTCCTTCTGGGGAATAGGGCAGTCAGACACCTAAGGAACATGCTAATTCATCTTCATCTCCCCAGCTTTCAGGGGCCAGAACCACAGTACTGTCCTACCTATGTTATTTCTCCTGCATGCACTGATCATCTGCCTTCGTGGAACTGGCTCCATCTGTGGAGGCGTCTTGGCTTCACAGGTTTAGAAATAGCCCAGAATTCACCCCCAAGACTGTGTGTGTGTCAGCAAATCCCCCAGAGCCCAGCCAAGTTATTTCGGAATATCAGATGGCTTCTTCCAACTTCTGTAAACCTCATTTGTGAAGAATAACACCTCTTCTTAACTAGCTATTTCGAAATAAGGCTGTGTAGATGCTCCATTTGTGCTATTTCGAAAGAGCCCCTCCCCAGGCCCATTAGAAGTTATTCTTCCTGGGGCTCTATATGGAGAAAACTTGTCTACATTAGGGGAGCCTGCCTCGGACTCATTTTGAGGTTTCCTTGCAGTGTAGATGTGCTATTTTGGAATAACTATTCTGGAATAGCTTCTTCCAAATTAACTGTGCAGTGTAGATGTAGCCCTAGTGAGGGCCTGACAACATCCTCTGTCACCTAGGGGTGGGGAGTCACAGGCCCTGCACCCTCACCTGCAGCAAGACATGGCTCTTAGCTGGCAGGTAAAACAAAGTATTTATTAGTCCACAGAGATACAGTGTAGAACAGACTTGTTAGCATAGGAACCAGGAGTAGTCAGTCCAAGCCATCTTGGGGAGAAGGGGACCCAGAGTCAAGGGCCCTGCCTCCCATCTCTGCTACCAAGCCAGAAAGACACTTCCACCCTCCACAGCTCATTCCTGGCTGTAGCCAACCCCGACTCAAACCTTTCTCCAGTTTCCCATGCAAAAGGTGTCGCTTGGTCCCACTCCCCTCCCAGACTCAGGCTGGTGTTAGCCTGGGCCATTATGAACATACTGGTCTGAGCATCCTCCCTCAGCAAGTCATTCCCCTCCCCCAATTCCCATTCCCATCTAGATAGCGGTGCAGTGGTCAGGGAAACTGAGGCACACCCACGTGGGGTTACTACAGGACAGTACAAATCACATGCAACACAAGAAAGCAAACACAGTGAATACAATCCCAACATTGTCACATCCCCACCTCATTCTGCCCCAGAAGTCTGCTGCTCTCAAGATGTCTGAGTTACCCAGTCCCATGTAGGATGAGATTGAGCTCAGGGAATGTTCCTTGTGACACACACTCTGCCTAGACTCCATGTGCCTTCACCTTGCCTGATCTCACCCCTTTCAGGATTCTCCATTCCCAAACCTGAACTGATCGCCCGGCTGGAACGAGGGGAAGAACCGTGGGTCCCAGATCTCCAGCCCTTCAAAGAAATGGGGATCCTGAGAGCTACCCACACAGGTGAGGAGTCAGGGAAACTGACACACAAACCATCCAGTGAGTACAGGAAAAATCTCGGACTCCCAAATTGAGCAGTGGGTGTGAGCCCTCACTTCCACCCCATGTCTCCCATGTAGGGCTGCTGGAATCATCCTGCCAAATAGCTGTCAGCAGTCCCCAGCCATCCTGTTAGCTGTCAACGGTTTCCTCCCTTCGTTTCCTTCCCTGGGAGTGTTTGGGTTGGGTGTGGAGGAAGAATCCAATGTCTCAGTCTCCCGAACTATTATTATCTGTGCTTTCTGTCTTAAGGATGTAAAGGACTAGTTGACTATCTGATAAGGAAATGCTTATTGGATTATCAACAGACTAGTCACTTCCCCCATCCCTTGCTTCCTCTATCACAAGATGGGGAGAGTGGGGGTACTTCAAAGCGGCAGTATCACTTGAAGACTGAGGCCAGACCCCAGGCTCCACAGGGCACTGCTGCTTTGAAACGCTGCCTGCAGCCCAGGACCAGCCCGGTTGACCCCAGGCTGCATGTGGTGTTTCAAAGCGGCAGTACCACGTAGAGCCTGGGATCGGCTGGGGACTTCCCCTCTAACCCCATGCTCCATGCAGTGCTGCTGCTTTCAAACGCTGCAGGGAGCCCGGCGTGAGGCTTCTCATAGCATTTCAAAGTGGCAGCACCACACGGAGCCCGGGGGGATCAGTGGGGGAGTCCCAAGCTGATGCTGGACTCCACTTTTAAACCCGAAGACAAGGTCTGATCATTCCAGTGTTTGGAAGGGATTGGATCTACAGTATTTCACTGCATCAAGTCCCACTTATCAGGTGAATCCATCTTATCTCAAGCCTCAAAGAGCTGCCTTGTCCAGTTCCTGGGCACCATTGTGCCATTCTGATCACAGTCCTGGGAAGAAGCCCTGAAATTTCCCATCTTAGGGGTTAGATCAGTGGTCTCCAACCTTTTTAAACACAAAATCACTTTTTCAATGTAAGTGCAATGTAAGATCTACCTCAAACCCAGATGCCCTGCCCTGCTTTCTTCCTGCCACTTCTTTGAGGCCCTGATGCTGATCCACCCCTTTTCTGAGGCCTCACCCTGCTCACTCCATGCTCCTTCCTTTCCCATCCTCATGCTCTTTCACCAGGCTCAGTAGGGGATTGGGGTTCAGGCTTCGGTCTTGGGCCAAGGGGTTTGGAGTATGGGAGAGGCTCTGGGCTTAGCTGAGGGCAGAGGATTGGGGTCCAGGAGGAGTTTCAAGGTGCTAGCTGTGAGAAGGCTTTTGGGTGCAGGGGGACTTAAATCTGACACAGAAGGTTAGGTGCAGGGCAAGGTTCAGGGCTGGGACAGGGGTTCAGGAAGCATTCTCTGGCTGGGCACCGTTTAACTGAGACGGCTTCCGGGTGGTGAAGCAGTGGGGTTAAGGCAGACTTACTCCTGCCCTGGCCCTGAACCACTCCTGAAAGCAGCTGGCATGTACAGCAGTGGCTACATGGCACCATGTGATGTCCCTCATCTACAGGCACTGAGCCCACAGCTTCTACTGGCCACAGTCCCCCGTTATTGATCAGTGGGAGCTGCAGGAGTGGTGTCTGCAGGCAAGGGCAGCATGTGGAGACCCCTCTGTTCTGCCTTTCTCAGGGGCTGCAGGGACGTGACAGCCTCTTCCAGGAGCAGCAATTGCCATAGGGATAATGACTCCAGCCACAACTGGGTAGGCATTTTAGAACTCACTGCTCAATTAATTAAATTTAAGCGTAATAGAGAAATGAAAGTTATGAAATGCACAGACCAGTCAGAAACCAAAACTCACCCACTTTGCAAGCAGTAACAAGTAACAACAACCCCCCACGTACCTGTTGGGTTGGGAGATGTGAGAAAAGGACAGAATGACAGACACACAGTGTGTGAGTGTAGCAGCACGTTGGGGTTCCCCTGCCTCCTGCACCCCTGTAGTGGCATGAACAGACTCCACCGTCCAGTAGAATAGAGGGAGTTTATTGCTTCTCCAGGATACAGCACAGCCTAGATGTAATCTGGTTATAGGGCAGGCCTAGGATGCCTCAGCCCCCCCCTTGAGATGGGGGAGTCTGGGCCCCTAAATCCCAGCCCGTTACTTAGGCTGCTTCCTCCATGATACCAGACAGAAACTAAAAACTTTCCTTCCAGCCCTGCCCCCCAGCCAGGGGCTGACCTCGCCCTCCTTTCTTTGTCTCTCTGGGAGGCAACTGGTCGGACAGGTTGGGAGCCCCTTGCATAATGACTCGCCCCCTGTCCTGCTGGGCCATGCTACAAACAGCCTCCAGCAGAGGTCACCCACAGCCCACCGCCCAGCATAGCCACCAGCAAGGTACCAACACTAAGTCACAGTGAGTGACAGAGATTTACATTGCCAAGCTCCCTCCATCCCCTTCTCTCTGTGTGGAGACAGGGTATAGCAGTGGGGAGAGGAAGGACCCTCTGACCTCAGTGCCCCCTCTCCTCCCTCTCAAAATGCACAGAGAGCAGTAAGCTTCCAGGGGGGCAGCTCCAAAGCAGAAGTCAGGAGCAGCATGACAGCAGGTGGAGAGGCAACTGAAGTGCCAGCTCTTGATAGAACCAGTCTGGATCACCTGTCAGAGGCTCCAAGATCTACCGGTAGACCCCAATCCACTGGCTGGTGACCACTGGATTAGATTAAACTTGCTGAAGACACTGCTCTGTGTTTAATCTGATGTAGGCTGCTTTTATAATAGCAGTGTTGCTTTTTGTCTGTTTACACATGTACATATTCGCATTCTGTTGTTTTTGCATCAACTTCTAGAAACGAGCACCTTAGTAAACAGTCTATTTTCCATGTTTAGATTACTTTCTAAGATGAAGAAAAATAGCAATTGTTTTCACTTTGAGTTATGTAAAGTATCAAAAAGGAAATAACTACAGAAGGCAAGGAAAGTCATTGGATGGGAGCTGAAGTGTTCCCTTTTATTTCTTGCATACAGCAAAACTGTGTAACTGGAAGTTGACAAAGCAGAAATCCATAACAATATCCAGTTAAAATCCTCTATCAACCATTATATCAGTAAAGAGAAATATTTTCCCAGACTTATTGAATTTGGAAACATATGAAATATTGTCTAGCACCATATATTGGCTACAGAAAATTTAGGGTTTAAAATACATTTCTGATGATAAATTTTCAAATAATAGATTTTGGTGTAAGCACAGAAACTGATTTTCACTATTTTAACCTAATTTCCAGGGCTTGACACATAATGCAATCTACTCGCCTGTGGCGAGTAGATTGCCTGAACCCGGCTCTTCTGGGTTGCAATCTGCTCATGCGCAGATCGCTGGACAGCGCGTCTGGCGAGCAGGGCTCGCTGCGGTTCGGCGAGCCCTGCTAATTTCCATATGAACATAAGAACATAAGAATGGACATACTGGGTCAGACCAAAGGTCCATCTAGCCCAGTACCCTGTCTGCCGACAGTGGCCATGCCAGGTGTCCCAGAGGGAGTGAACCGAACGGGGAATGATCAAGCGATCTCTCTCCTGCCAGCCATCTCCATCCTCTGACAGAGGCTAGGGACACCATTCCTTACCCGTACTGGCTAATAGCCATTTATGGACTTAACCTCCATGAATTTGTCTAGTTCTCTTTTAAACCCTGTTAAAGTCCTAGCGTTCACAACCTCCTCAGGCAAGGAGTTCCACAGATTGACTATGCGCTGTGTGAAGAACTTCCTTTTGTTTGTTTTAAACCTGCTGCCCATCAGTTCTTCTTCGAGTGCTTGCTCATGTCCATTCTGTTTAGATGTACGCGCGCCGCGTGCATGGATTCCGCAGCCTTTTTTCTTTAGCAGTATCCATAGGGCCAGCAGGGAGCCCCCTGGAGTGGCACCGGTATACCAATGCATATATACCCCTGCTGGCCCCTCCACCCCCTCGGTTCCTTCTTACCTCCCATGACGGTAGCTGGAGCATGCTTTCAGGCTGTTAGCTATCTCTTAGCAGTTATATTTCCTTTATCTGTTGTATTATAGTTCTAATTGAAGTTTTATCTAGTTAGGTAGTTGTTAAGTGCTGTAAATAGTGTAATTAGTTAGGTAGGGGAGCACAGCGGGACTCTCCCCATGAGGGGAGGGCATGCCAGGGCCCCAGGGCTTCAAACCCTGTGCTTCCTGCTCTAAACCTATGCCCCGTGGAGATCCCTACTCCGGCTGTCTGAAGTGCCTGGGAGAGGCCCATCAAGCTGAAAGCTGTTCTATCTGTAAGAGCTTTAAGCCCCGGACCAAGAAGGAGAGGGACTCCCTGTTGAAACTCCTATTAATGGAGTCGGCACTGCAGCCCCAGGGCGAGGAGCACCCTCACTCTGTCCGCAGCGCACCGTCGGCGGCACCCTTGTAGGCCAAGCACCGACCTGAGACCAACAAGGCACCGAGACACAGATCGCAGTCCCCGGTGCCGAGGGCCTCCAAGAGCTCGAGGGGACGCTCTGCAGAGAGGAGTGCCCAGAAGATGCGCCCTAAGGAGGGGCACCTATCTTCTAAGGCCTCGAAGAAGAGGCGCAGCCCAGACAAGAGCAAGAGCCCAGGGCAGCCCGTGGGGATAGGGGAGGTCCGCCGTCCCTCCACCCCAGAAACTTTCGAGGCAGCCCAGGACCTCATCCAGATGGCCTCAGAGGAAGGAGAGGGCCCGGTGCTGCAGGAGTGGACCGCGTCAGCGTTGGGCTTGAGCACCCCCCAGCAGGCTATGGCAGTCGGGCCATGGGACTCTCTGGGCGAGGTGCAGGTCTCGACCCAGCAGCAGCAGCATTTCCTGGTGCCAGCAAGAGCACCGGCACCAGAGCCAGGACAAACACCGGCCTCAACCCCGGGCCCCTACCTGGCAGCACCGACAGCGGCACCGGGAGCGAGTGCGCTTGCGGCACCGACGGCCCCAGTACCTGGGCACCCGTCGGCCCTTCCGGCACCAGTGCAGGGACCAGTACCGCAGATGGGCCATGGGTGACGCAGGGCCCCGCACTGTATTACGTGCCGACCACGGCACCACAGCTGGTCCCCTGCATGGCA